TCCCCCCTCCTGGACCCTCTTGAGGCTCTTGTCGGGCCTTCTTGGGCCGTCTTGGGCGCCTCTTGGGCCGTTCTGAAGCTTTCTTGGGCGGTCTGGGGGCCTTCTTCGGGACCTCATGGGCCGTCCTGGAGCGATCTTGGGGGCCTCTTGGACCGCCTTGGACGCTGTTGAAACTGAAAGGGTGGATGTGCTGAAGATGTACGTTTTCCTCACGAGTTTGGGCGACTTTGGACTTTTGGGGCTCTCCTGGGGGGTCCTCTTGGAACTGTCTGGGGTCGTCTTGGAGGCTTCGTGGTCCGTCTTGAGGGTATCTTTGTTGTGTTTGATGCCTGCTTGGCGTGTTGGAGCCCAGCTTGAGCAAGCTCGGATGGAATCTTGGGCATCTTGGACGCCGCGGAGTGTGAGCATGCAGGCTCTGGAGGCCCAGGGGGGAGCGCTGAGGAGCCCGGAGAGCCACCCCCTGCCACGGGGGCCCCCTTCGGGGCTCCCCTCTTCGGATTGGATTGCAGGCCCCGGGTGATAGGGGCATGGGGGAGGGGGGCCGCCAATCATCTCAGACGCCGCGGGGGTCGGCGGATTCGACGAGGGCACGGCGTCGGCGTGCCTCGGAAGGAGGGCGGAGGGAAGAGGAGCAAGAGGAGAGTAGGAGGATCGGAGAAGGGCACCGCGGGTCGCAGTTCCGCCTCGCAAGCAGACGGCACCTCAGGTAACGGCCAACCGAGCAAGCAAACATAGGCCCACACGCGACCGACCCTTCCGAGGTCGCGCCCTCATGGACCACCTTCCGCGCAAGCACACAGTGGCGCACATGAGCGGTCATGGAGGACCAGGAGAAAGCTCGGTGGACCTCGCGCTTGGCGCAAGGGTGCACACCTGGGGCTTCCGAATGCGGCGAAGCCCCAGCCGCGCGGCGCTCGAGGACCCTGGCAGCGGTGATCCGCCTGTGCGCGAGGTCGAGGAACTCGAGCTGCTCCGCGAAGTTGCTGGCCGCAGCCCCGGAGCGCGAGACGATGCCGAGCCGCTGCCTGCTGGCCTGCCCGCTCCGGCGTCCCGCCCGCCCGTTAGGCGCTTCGCGCCCGCTCGCCTGCTCGCCCGAGACGTGGCGAGGCGCTGGCGAAGAGGGCTGCGGCGGAGGGGGCCCTCGGCGAAGGGGAGACCTCCAGCGAAGAGGCACGGGCGAAGCGAGACGGCCGAAGGGGAGCCCTGGCGAACCGGACGCGTTCGCGGTTCGTGCCACGGTGTCTGCCGCACGTGCGGTGATGCCGTTTCGATGTTGCTTTGTGCTCATGTTCGTCATGGGGCTGTCCTGGGCTCCTGTGGGGTCGTCTTGATTCCCCGTTCTCGCCCCTGCGACCCAGACATCTGGCGCTCCAAGTTCTTCGATGCGTGGACCCCAAGAGGCTTGGGCCACTTCCCCAAGGGCCGTGTTCCGTCCTGAGAAGTTTGTTGACAGTCCCTGGGCCCGTTGAGGGCCCTTGGAGGCAGGAAATAAGCAAGACTGGCCGCTCCAATTCTTTCGGAGCCTCGCATCTCTGGGGAACACCGCCGATGTCGAGACCTTCTGCCCGCGCGCACGTACACCTGCCAAGACGCCTACTGAGCTCGACAGCCCTCGGGAGCCACCGTTGGTCGCCCCCTGCACGCCGCGAGTCCGAGTCCACTGCCTCGCGGGTCGGGCCCCTGGGCCTCGACCTCGCGCCCCGCGGATGCCCCGCGCGAAGCGTATCCGTGCGACCGCGCATCCGTGGGATCGCGCCCCGGAAGCCAGACCGCTGGGGCGCAGATGCGGATCCCGGTGGCGGAAAAGAGGGGGGTGATGACTAGGGGGGGGTGGGTATCATGGCGCGGGCCATGATATTTCCCCAGATTTCATGGCGCCTCTTTTCTTATTTCATTGCGTCCCTGGCCCCCCCGCTGGGGCGCGCACATGCCGCTGGTCATGATTTGCACCCCCCCCTCTTTGACGCCCCCCTCTTTGCCGCTCCCGAGGATCTGTTCGCCGCTCGTGAGGGTGACCCGGCCGTCGGAGACATGCCCAGATCCTCCTCGCAGGGTCTGCTTGGCTTCGGCTCCCTTCGGCGGCGCGCCGAGGGGGGGACCCTCAGACCTGGGCGTTGCATGTTTTCACGCCGGGCGTCTTCGCCCGGTTTCGGGCACCAGGACCAAAACATATCGACCTGGCTCGAGAAATGCCGCAGAAGTCGAGTCCAGTGGCTCGCGAGGCGCGTCATTCATTCTCAGCGCTGGATCTCCGGAGAGGTGAGGCGGGCAGGCCTTCCCAGAAGGCGGCGGGGCTTCTCGGAAGCCCTCCGGCCCTCTGGGATGCCCTCCGCGGCCGTGGAGAAGGCTTCGAGACCCTCCTGAGCCTTCGGGGAGGCCCGCCCCCCCCCCCCCTGGCCTTCCCCCTGGGCGCGGCGCCGATTCCCTGGGCACCAGAAGTTCTCCCGGCGCTGGGGGCCTCAGACCCAGACATCCGGAGCGTGAATTTTTCGGATGCGGGGCCCCTCTGAGGTCTGGGCCACGGCCCCGGGGCCTACCGAGGGCTCCACCACTCGCTCGCTCGCTCGCTCAGCCATGCATCTGGAGGGACGTGTCGGCAGACTCAAGGTTGCGTCGTTGGCAACCGAGTGGAAGAAATAAGATGCGCGTCGGCAACGGCAGCTGGAGCGCCAAACGCGCCGGACAAGTTCGCAACGGAGCGCCAAACGCGCCGGGATCTGGAGCGCCAAACGCGCCGAGGGGGGAGGAGGGAGAAGGAAGGATTCACACAGGGGCCGAAAATAGCCCCAAACCAGGCCCTCCAACTTTTTTGGAGACTCAGATGTCTCGGGCTCCGGAGGTCCGCCTTGGCTCTCGAAAGGGCAAGCAGCTTGTGCCACCGCCGGTTTGCCTGCCGCATGTCGGCTTGTGTGTTCCCACTCTGCCTGGCGACCTCTTGATTCGCACAGCGGTGGAGGCCGAGTTGTGTCAAGCTACGTGGTCGCGCTCCCTTCTTCTTCTTCGTCTTCTTCTTATTCCTCCTCCTCCTCCTCCTCCTCCTCCTCCGAAAAGCACAAGTGTCAGCGCCTGTCCCCTCGAGAGGACCGGCTCCGCGCCGCCAGCCTGGCGCTGCAGGCCTGGCGCGAGGCTGCCGCGGCGAGGGCCAAGGCCCAGGGGCCGGAGCGGGATCCCTCGGCGGAGGCGCTCGGCCGAGGTGCATCGGCCGACCATTTCGGTGCAGCTCGAAGATCAAAGAAATTGCATGAACATAGCAGTATCGTTTGACCGATCCCCATCCCCATCCCCATCCCCATCCCCATCCCCTTCGAGACCCCCACCAAGTTACCACCCCAGTTGGGGATACACCCCTCGAAACCCGAAGGGAACGGCCTGTATCCCCATCTAGGGGGGGACATCGGCCAGTGGGGCCCAGGCCACTCCGCTGGGGACAGGGATCGGTCAAACGATACTCAACATAATTTCTCGGAGGTCCACGCGGACTTCTTGGACCGGCGGTGGGTCCCCCTGGCTGCACCTCCGGCGCCGTCCCCGGGGGGGTCCAGCGCCGATCCCATCGATCTTCGCAGACCTCTGCAAAATTATGTGTGTAGGCCGTTTAGTAGCCTATTTTGGGCCAGAAGGTGCAATCGGTTGCCTCGATTCCTGCTTTGTCGCTCCGCATTCTCCCCACACCCTACATCTTCGGTTTGGTCTGTTTCGCCTCCGAGGTCCCGTTATCTCCACCAGACCAAGCTCAGCGTTCGTTGGCGATTGTGCATCTTTGATGTCGTCAGTCGTTCTCGTACCCACCACATTCGACAAGACGACAGCGGTTGCAGTGCGTGGTTGCAGTGCTTGACCTGCTACTTCGTTCAAGTTCAATCTATATCTGAGCCCGAGCTTCTCCACGCAATTATAGGCCGCAAGCTGCGCTGAGCTCCTTGAGCTTCGCCTTTCTGCGGCATTTTTCGAGCTGGGCCGATCTGTGATGGTCCTGGGGCCCGAGACTGGGCGAAGATGCCTGGTGTGAGAAACATTCGGCGCCCAGATCTCGTGGCATGGCGCACCCGTCGATCGGAGAGGGGGGGAGCGGGGGCGTGGACGCGTGGTGCTCGACGCGTGTGCGGCCGAGGCGACGCGGCGCGGGCGTGCGACAGGCGGCCTCCTGGGGCACCGGGAGGCGTCGGGGACTCGCGGGAGCCCTCAGGAAGGGGGGGCAAGGCATGCCGCACTGCTACCGGGAGAGGGGGTCCCTCTTCCCTGAGATCCGGGCCTTGCAATTTTTGCGCGCCTGGCGTTTTGGCTTCGTGCCCCAGGACCATCTCAGATCGACCCGGCTCGGAACTTCAGCAGCAGAACATGTGGCTTTGTGCCCCGGTCGCGACTTGCCGCGATGTTGCAATTGTGGTTCGCAACGTCCGATCTCGGGGTTAAAAGATGGCAGAAGTCCTATTAGACAGCACTTGGCACTCTACCACGCCTACCGTTAAGTCGGATACGTTCCTCTACAGGAGGAATATTCAAAAATAGTCAACAAAAATGAGTAGGGGACGATTTTTTTCGAGTAGTTTTTGCTATTTAGGGGGGACATGCCTCTTTAGGGGGACATGCCCGACCTAACCTTAACGTGCCAGGGGACACATATCACATAGTCAGAACATCGGCTTGGGGAGGGGCCTCGTCTGGCAGAGGGCGCTGCACAGCAAAGGGGGCCTCTGTAGCACCAGAGCCATGCCTAGTACCAAGGGCTTTTCAAATCAGCTTGGGGGGGCTCGCCCAGCAGCGGGCGATGTAAAGTGCAAGGGGCCTCTTTATGAGCAGGGTCACGTCAAACACCTCGGAGATTGCTTGCTTGAATCAGCTCGCCGAGCTGCACAGCAGAGGAGGCCTCTGTGGGGGGCGGGGCTTTGGGAGAGCCTTGTCTAGCATCCAGCACTCTGCGTAGCAGAGGGAGTAATTTTCGGAGTAGAGGCACGTGTGTTTTGTTTGTTTGCTTTTCGTTTTTGTTTTTTGTTCTTGTTCGGTTCAACTTGGGATCAAACCTCTTGGGAGGAGGAGTGGGAGGAGGAACAAGAGCAGGAGGATGAATGGTTCGAGTGCCAGGCGAAACCTAAACGCAAACCATGCAGCAGAAGCAACCAGCACTATAGGTAGACGTACAACTTTTACATTTTCTCTCTCCCTGTCACACACACACACACACATTTTGGCGGTAGCGGCTTCGCGCGCGGCGACGAGGCGGAGTAAGTCTAGCAGCGGGGCAGACGCGCACGGCCAGGGCCCCTCAGGCGCGGTCACTTTTGGACCGCGCCACGTACCGTCGCAGCAGCAGTACACCAGCCATCCAGGCGTGGATGACGAGGAGAAGGCGCTGCCAAGGAGGAGGAGGAGGAGGAGGAGGAGGAGGAGGAGGAGGAGGAGGAGGGAGGAGGGAGAAGGAGAAGAGGAGGAGAGAGGAGGAGGAGGAGGAAGGAGAGAGGAGGAGGAGGAGGAGGAGGAGGAGGAGTGAGGAGGAGAGGAGGAGGAGGCAGGAGGGGGAGGAGGAGGAGGAGGAGGAGGAGGAGGAGGAGGAGGAGGAGGAGGAGGAGGAGGAGGAGGAGGAGGAGTCGTGGGACGTCCCTTGCGGGCCCAAAGCGCTGGGGCGATGCGCAGCCCACCGGGCACTGTTGACGGGGAGGGTGGGAAGCCAGGGGGACCGCCCGCTTGGCGTGCCGAGCGCAGACTGTACGAGACATATCGATCAATCGGGGAGGCCAGCCCATCGTGATTCTGGCGCCGTATCCCCCCCAACCTCCTTATCAGCAGACGGGTCGTCTTTTTTCTCATTGCCTGTCTTCGTTTCAGAAGTTGACTTCTGCTCGCCCCCGCGCAGGGCTCCGAGGTGGTTCCTGAGGCCGTCGTGATGGCCCTGCTGCGATGCGGGCGCGTCCACCACTGTCTGGCAGTGTGGCGTGGACTGGCGGTCTCCAGGGACGAGCACAAGCATTGTATGATGATGCGGCGGAGTAGGATGGTCAGCAGTGGAGGTGTTGGGGAGGAGGATTGGAAGGGGTTGGTGATGAGGGTGCTGATGGCAATAATAACGAGAACGTGGGTGACTCCACGAGCGTGGGAAGAGATTCCTCTTTTTCAGCCGCTTTCAGTCCCTGTGTTGACGATACGGCGAACAGTCATCAGTGGACAGTAGGAAATTGGGGGAAGGAGGGACATGACACCGAACACCGATGTTGCATCCATCATGTTTGATGCTCACCCGCTTGGCTGGGTTGCCGTCCCCATTTGGAGGCTGGCCCTGCTGGACGGACTCGTCCAAGATTACCGCCTTTGGCCTTGTCTTTCCTCTGCGTCTTCTCCCTGTGCACCGCACTCTGCCCTCCTGCCGCTTTGCCCCGCTGGTCTGCGATTCTGCACTCTGCGTGCCTGGCCGTGCCGATTCGGCCCCAGCGGACGCCTCTGCCTCAAGGCAGAATCCATGGCCGCTGCGTCGATAGCGTCTCGACGCCTTTGTAGCTGCGATGGCGTGCGATGGCGCGACGCCTGCTCTGACGGGACCTGCCCCTACGAGCAGTGGCGCTTTTGAGTTGGCTGGGACGGGCGCGCGGTTCGCGGCGCACGGTTTGCGGGGCCCCTGGTTCTCTTCCCGCCTCTGCGTGCCCGTAATGCTTGTTCACGTGCGCGGCCTCGACCAGCGGTGTTGCTGTGCACCCGCTTTTGGAGTTGAGAGCTGTGCGCAAGCTAGCTGCCCTGTGTTGGTGTCCGCTGACACGCCTCTGTTGGTTTTCTGAGATGCGAGATCTGTGGCTGAGTCCTTGGTCCTCGCTGGTTGACTTCGTTATGGATTTGTGCAGTTGAGTCTGAGTTGTTGGTCGTTGCGCCCATTTGCGCTTTGCTTGAGGCTGCGTCATTTGATGTTCGATACTTGCTCGCAACGTAAGTGGGGCAAGGCAATTTTCTTTTCAAATGTACCTGTTTCACTTTGGTCACTGGGTGGTTTTGGATGGGTTTGGCCACCCTGCACCTTACCGCCTGGGTTTGAACCCCCCTGCCTGCACTACCACGGTTTCAATTCTCGTCTTGATGTTCATCTGAGCGTTCCATGATCATCTGAGCGTTCCCAGCCGCTTTTCCTCCGTCCCGCCGTATTGGTAAACCTGTGTCGGAGCATGCGATGCCCATCGGCAGTAAAGGTGTATACAACCTGTCCCCTCGAGCGAGCCTATGCCCCCAGTGCGTACATGCTTCTGCGCTGCTGTCTGCGCCTGGCACCCATGGCGGGCTGAATGGTGAGCGCCGTCCTTGTGAGCGTTTGACAGAGGATGAAGATGTGTGCATTCGTTCTTTCTGTGCGCGCATGTGTGTGCTTGCACGTGCGTTTGTTCCGTGCGCTTTTGTATACGCAGGCACGTCATTTGTACATGCATGCGCGCGTGTGCGCTCGTGCAATGCCGTATGGTTACAGTCATGGGCCCCAAACATAGCATTTGTGCAATCTACGACGTGTGGGACCCTAGGTGGTGTGTCCCTCTCGTGCGGAACTCTACCGTGTGGGACCCTACCGTATGGGAACTTACTTTGTGGCACCCTGTAGCTCGGATTCTTTCGCATGGAACTCATCGTGCGGAGACCCCACTGTGTGGGACCCAACGTTTTAAGACTCTATCTGCTGGGGCATGGTGGCGTTGAGCCTGATGTTGTGGGACCCTCTGGTGTGGTAGTGTGGAGCTGTCGTGTGTGACTTCATAGTTTGGGACCCCATCGTGTGGGGTCGGACGGGGCCTTAGGGTGAGGGACCGTATCGTGTTAGAACCATCGTCGTGTGCGACCCTAAGGTGTGGTGCCTGTCGTGTGGGACCCTGTTTTGCGAGGCTTTGTAGTGTGGTGCCCTGTGGTGTGGGTTCCACGATATGGTCCCAGCGAGGACAGGGAGAGAACCATCTAGAACGTATCCAAATCCTGGCCACCAGGGGCAACCCAGAAGAAGACACGGAAGAAGCCTTTTGTGAAAGCACGGTTTTGGGGATGCTTGTGAGCGCGAGCCTTCTTTGCATCATGAGCTGTCCTGGAGGTCGCACGTTTCCGGCACCGCGCGTTTGAGGACAGTTTTCTCTTTCCACCATCGTCGCCGATACCATCGTCGTCGCCATTGTCTTCATCATTGCTATCCTCGTCATGGTGTTCGTGGTCATTGTTATCAGCATTGTTGCATTTCCCAGCGAAGTTACCTTCATCGACATGTCGGCAGTTCCTCAAAACGTACAGGGCAGCATTGACCGCGCACGAGATAGCAGAGCAGTAGAAGCCAGTAGTTGCAATTGAGGGGCTCGATTTTTACAGAGTGGCACAAGCTGTAGTGTGTGCATTCCCTGAGCGTGTTTTGGGCTTCTTAGTGCTGCAGTCGCCAGATCTCGTAAGGACTCGGACTCCCGCGTATCGACCATTGGGAGAATCGCACAGAAGATGAGGCTAGGAAAGAGTTGTGGCATTCATATTACATCTGCGACGGACAATGCAACAAGTGTGCTGTCGTCGCCATCGTCGCGGCCTCCGCTGCCGCGGTCGTTGCCGTGGTCGTCGTCATGCTTGCTCCCATCATCGTACTCCTCCTCCCCCGTCCATCTTCCCTGCTCCTGGTCTTACGCTTTTTTATTATCTTTTGTCAGCTTTATTTTCCAATCTTGATCCTTCCCGATCCCTCGTTACACGTTTTCATGATTCCCTTTCCTCCTACCTCCTCCACCCATTCTCCGTACCTTCATCTCTCTTCCTCGTCATTCTTTCGTCCGCCTCCTTTCCCTCGTCCGTCGTCGTTGTCGTCCGCCCATTCCCCCATGTCCTCCCCTGCTAGATATGATGGCCAAGAGCAGAGCATCACATACCCATGCGCTGCTATCGACGGCTAACCTGCTGGTCCAAGACATAACGTGCCACCATCAAGCGGCTGCGCGTTCTCCACTCAATAATGGTCGGGGAGTAGTGAGGTATTACTCCGCGTCGATTGTCGAACGAATCAGATCTCCCTGCTGGCATCTTACGGTGGAGGTCGAATGAATCAAACGAGGGACTTCACGCCTCTGGAAGTGAGCTTTGTCTTCGTCGGGGCTCGAGCAAGACGGTGTTTTGGCGATTTCGTGTACCGTTTTCGTTCTGATTTCGTTTCACAGTAAAAGCGGAAAGAAAACATAACGAGGGAGAACAAAAACAGCACGAAAACGAAAACACTTTAGCTCGAGCCCTGGTCGTCGTCTTCCCTTCCGCTCCCCGCTGGAGGCATCCTACCTCTCCTCCTGTTCCCATGCTTCCTCATCGTCCTTGCCCCCTTTCTTCGGCAGCGCATCGAGAGGGGAAAGAGAGGAAGGGCAGGCCTTCTCGGAAGGCGGTGGGGCCTTCTCAGAAGCCTTCTGGCCTCCTGAGAAGTCGTCTGTGTCTTCGGACAGACGCCTGAGGTCTTTGAGTCTTCTGAGAAGGCCCTTCTGCCTTCCCCACTGAGCGCGTCCCCGGTTCCTCTTCGTCCTCCATCTCGTGCACCTGCCACGTCTGCTTGTTCTGTGTGCTGCTCCAGGAGATCGATGGCCTCCGCCAGCTGCTAGAGGAGAGATCTCGCGGACCTGAGGCGAGAGCACCTCAGGCTTCGGCCCTCCTTTGCTGGCTGCGCTGGACTGAACCTAGAGGGTACGTGAGCGCGCAGACGCGCAGAGTTGCAGGGTGAATGATTCGATCACGCAAGCTGGAGCGGTCGGCGTGATCGATTTTACGTTGGGTCGGGCAGTTGTTGTCGTGTCTGCAGGCAGAGGCCAATTCGGCACGACGCCATCCTACCGTTGGTCCATTTGTGGTGTCAGAGCTGGGGACTGCAGGGGGAACAGGGGGACAGGCGAGAAGGTATTCCAGTTTTCATTCTCGAGCTAAGAGAACTTTTTGCCAAAGTTTCTCTCCATGACGCCCTTGGACTTTCTTTCAGCTTTGCGTCCGGTCTACGGTGTCTCCGTGTTTCAGCTTGATGTCCACTCGTGGCATAGGTAAGCGATGGCCCCGACAGCGGCAGTCAACCGCTCTCATGGCAACATGACATAGCCATGTGCAGTCTGGGCATGTATGAACCAATTAATTCGGCGCTGGTACCCCTCACACGTAGATATTTATGTACGGTGGCAGCAACTCAGAATGTCGACGAGGTCGAGGAGGTGGTGATGAAGAGGGGTGGGACGACGAAGGGGAGGGATGATGATGATGCTGCTGCTGCTCATTCATGATGATGCCGCTGATGATGCTGCTGCTGACCATGGTGCTGGTCGTGATGATGATGCTGATGATGATGACGATGGTGATGATGATGATTGTGGTGCTGCTGCTGATGATAATGATGATGCTGATGATGATGATGATGATCATGGTGATGATGATGATGATGATGATGATGATGGTGATGTTGCTGCTGATGACGATGATGATGATGCTGATGCTGATGCTGATACTCACGATTATGCTGATGATGATGACGCTGATGAAGATGAGCATCATGATGACGATGACCACGATGATGATGCTGATGCTACTGATGCTGCTGATGCTGATGATGCTGATGATGAGGCTGACGACGATGATGCTGATGATGATCATGATGATGACGATGATGCTGATGCTGATGCTGATAATGATGATTATGATGCTGATGGTGATGATACGTATGATGATGAGTACGATGATGATCATGATGATGCTGATGATGATGGTGGTGGTGATGATGATGACGATGCTCATGACTATGATGGTGATGCTGAAGCTGATGATGCTGATGATGATGATTACGATGCTGATGATGTCGCTGCTGCTGATAATGATGATGCTGATGGTGATGATGATGGTAATGATGATGCTGAGCCTGTTTATGGGGATGATGTTGATGCTGATTTTGCTGATGCTTCTGATGCTGATGATGCTGATGATAATAATGATGAATCTGATGATGATGATGCTGGTTATGATGCTGCTGATGATCTTGATGATGATGACGATGCTGATGCTGATGCTGATGCTGATGCTGATGCTGATGCTGATGCTTATGCTAATGATGTTGACGACGATGATGTTGATGATGATGATGGTACTGATGATGATGATGATGATGATGATGATGCTGATGATGATGAGGATGATTATGATCATGCGGATGATGATGCTCATGATGATGGCGATGATGATGATGATGATGATGATGATGATGATGATGATGATGATGATGATGAAGGCGCCGATGATGCTGATGATGCTGCGGATTGATGATGAACGTGATGATGCTTAGGTTGATTAAGTTGATTATGATGCTGGCGGTGACGATGGTGATGCTGGTGCTGGTGATGCTGGTGGTGATGGTGCTGACGATGCTCATGATGTTCATTATGATGATGCTGATACTGATGATGATGCTGATGTTGATGATGATGACGGTCATGATAAGACTGATTCTGCTTATGATTGCGATGCTTGTGATGATGCTGCTGATGCTGTTGATGATGATGCTGGTGATGCTGGTGCTGCTGTTGCTAATGCTGATGCTGTTGATGACGACGACAATGATGCTGATGATGAGTATGATGATGATAAAGCTGATCACGCTGATGATGCTGATCACGCTGATGATGCTGATGATGATGCTGATGATGAGGATGCTGATGATGATGCTGATGATGTTATTGAGGATCAGGGTGGGACTTATTATTCTGAGGAGGAGGAGGAACCATACTGATAACACTAATAAGACTATCACTCACACTAATACGAAGATTAATACTAATAACAATTGCATCAAGAACACGAGTATTAAGACTATGACTATGGCGGCGAATAATACCAATACACGCGATTGTACGAACAGCAATTAATACTACTATAAGCACTAAGACCAGTAAGGACAACCGTACTATTACTAAGAAGAAACTGAAGGATGGCAATAACACAACAAGAGGAGGACAATACTGATGAGGAAGAAAACAAGGAGGAAGTCGAGGAGGAGGAGGCGGAGGAGGAGGAGGAGGATAGGAGGAGAGGAGGAGGAGGAGGAGGAGGAGGAGGAGGAGGAGGAGGAGGAGGAGGAGGAGGAGGAAGAGAGAGAGGAGAGGAGGAGGAGGAGGAGGAGGAGAGGGGGGGAAGACGCGAGGAGAATGAGAGGGAGAAGGAGGAGGGAGGCGGAGAGGTGCGGGGCGAGTGAGACGATGACGGGAGAGGAGAGGAGGACGATGAGGAGGAGGAGGAGGAGGGGAGGAGGAGGAGAGGAGGGGAGGGAGGAGGAGGAAGGAGGAGAGGAGAGGAGGAGGAGAATGGGGGAGGAGGAGGAGAGATGAAGGAGTAGAGGAGGAGGAGGACGTGACGAGACGAGAAGGAGGAGGAAGAGGAGGAGAGAGGAGAGAGAGGGGAGGAGGGGGAGAGGAGAGGAGGACGAGGAGAAGGAGGATGATAGGTGGAAGGAGGAGGAGGGGAGGAGGAGAGGAGGAGGAGAGGAGGGAGAGGGGGAGGGAGAGGAGGAAGGGTATAGGAGGAAATCCGCGACCGGTTGATGAGAGAGGAGGAGGAGGAGGAGGATGAGGAGGACGAGGAGGCAGGTGGAGGGGAGAGGAGGGAGAAAAGGAGGAGGAGATGAGGAGGTAAGGAGGAGGAGGAGGATGAGGAGATGGGGGGGGGGGGGAGGAGATGAGGAGGAGGAGGAGAGGAGGGGAATAGAGGAGGAGGCGGAGGAGGACAGGAGGAGGAGAGGAGGAGGAGGGGGGGGGAGGAGAGAGGAGAGGGAGGAGGAGGAGGAGAGGAGGCGAGGAGGAGAGGAGGAGTGAGGAGAGGAGGAGGAGAGGAGGAGGAGGAGAGGAGAAGGAAAGGACGAGGACCAGGATGAAGTCGGCGGATGATGATGATGAGGAGGATGAGCAAGATCAGGAGGAGAGTAGGAGGAGCATATGACGATGATGTCGATGAGAGAGGAGGAGGAGGAGGAGGAGGAGGAGGAGGAGGATCAGGAGCAGGATCAACAGCAGGAGCAGCAGCAGCAGCAGCAGGAGCAGGAGGAAGAGGAGGAGGATGCGGAGTAGGAGGAGGAGGAGGAGGAGGAGGAGGAGGAGGAGGAGGAGGAGGAGGAGGAGGAGGAGGGAGGAGGAGGAGGAGGAGGAGGAGGGATGATGAGGAAGAATAGGAGGATGAGGATGATAATGAGGAGGAGGATGATGCTGTTGCTGATGATGATGCTGCTGATGATGATGACGATGCTGATTGTGATGATGATGCTGATGATGCTTCTACTGATGATAATTTTGATGATGATGCTGCTGCTGATGATGATGATTATGATGATAATGATACTGCGTCTTATTATGCTGATGATACTGATGCTGCTGCTGATGACGATGATGCTGCTGTTGACGGTGATGATGCTGATGCAGCTGATGATGATGCTGCTGCTGATGATGCTGATTCTGCTGATGCTGATGATGATGATGACGACGATACTGCTGATGATGCTGCTGATGCTGATGATGGTGGTGGTGGTGGTGATGACGATGCTGATGATCATGCTGATTATGATCATGCGGCTGATGATGATGCTGGTGATGACGATGATGATGATGATGATGATGATGATGATGATGATGCTGATGCTGATGATGATGATGATGCTGATGCTGCTGCTGCTGCTACTGATGATGATGATGATGATGATGAGGATGATGATGATGATGATGATGTCGATGCTGATGCCGATGATGATGATGCTGATGATGAAGATGCTGATGATGATGATGACGACAATGATGACGATCATGATGATGCTGATGATGCTGATGATGCTGATGATGATGATGTTGATGCTGATGATGATGATGATACTGATGCTGATGCTGATGCTGATGATTATGATGCGGCTGCTGATGATGCTGATGCTGATGCGGATGATGATGCTGATGATGCTGATGCTGATGCTGATGCTGATGCTGATGATGATAATGATGACGATGATGATGATGATGATGATGATGGTGATGCTGATGATGATGATGGTGATGCTGCGGATGATGATAATGATGATGATGATGATGATGATGATGATGATGCTGATGATGATGAGGATGATGATGCTGATGATGATGATGATGCTGCGGATGATGATGATGATGATGATGATGATGATGATGAT